CATAACTTTCGCTCCAATTTTAATTGTAATTTGTTTCAAAAGCCCAGCTGTATTGGTATCATCGTCTTCATTATCCGTCAATCGCTTTTGTACCTTTCGTTTAATATAATTATCACAGTCAAGCGTATCTTGAGCAATTAATAATATTTCTTTTGAAGCAATACGACTTAGCATTGCAGTGTTAAGAACATCGCACAAATAACGAGTAGGCAGTAAACAAACAGTGTTAGGCGGCAAATTATCAAGATAATTACACAATTCGTATAATCTTTCATCGAAAGACTGACCTTTCAATGATATTCTTCTTTTCTTGAGAATCTCAGAATCAGAAATTGTCAATAAACCAATACGAACTCTCGAGAGTAATTCACGATAAGCTGTATCTCCTTGCTGACGCATAGTGATCGTCAATTCATCATATTGAAATTTTTGCCACAACCATTCCTCAGGAGTAGTCCCCACACTGCCAATATATTTATTAAATTCTGCTTTTGATAGTGGAACAAAGATAAAATTTTCACGTACAGGAGGTAATTGAAGCAGATCTCCAAATAAAAGAACGTGCTTTCCACCAAAGAAATCGTCATCCATGGTATCAAATATTTGACATAGTCGTAAATGTATATACATGAAAGTTAAATTAGATATCATTGATATTTCATCAATTATAATAAGACTAACATCTTTAAGATCTGCTCGTAAAACTTTCAAAACGTGATCAGATAATAGTGTATACTTAGAAGACTGATCACTATGTTCAACAGGTAACTGCCATTGCCTGTGATTTGTTAAAGCATCGATATTAAACGCCGCTATACCAGTAGGTGCTGTTACAGCAGTATCTTTGTGGAGATTTTGTTTTATCCAGCATTTAATTGTTTTAATTAAGAAACTTTTACCAGTACCTCCTTCTCCGCTAACGTATAATAGTAATTGCTTAAATTGTTCGTCATCCGGCGATATCTTTACGGCGTTGATGACTCTGTCAAATATTCTTCTTTGATCTGCGTTCAGATTTGAAATCATTTCAGATACATTAATTTCCTGATTTAATTTGTCACCAAGATCCTTAAAATCTTGCATCGCTTCACCAGCCTCAATATTTTGAACACCTATTGGATTATCGGGATCATCTTGAGACTCATGCTGTTTTTCCAAATTATCTAAATATTGTTCAACTAATTGCTTCGCAGTTTCAAATGCTTTTTGCACTTCCTCTAATTTTTCATGATATTGCAATGCTTCCGTAAGATATAACTTTTCCTTGTGAAATGCTTCTGTATATGTATCACATCCGTCTTTAAGATCTTCTATTTTCTGCCACGGTTTAAACATGAGCAGTAATGAAAAGAAATAATTTTCCGGCTGCGTATTGACATTATATTTATAGTGATTAATAAGACATCCACGCTGTCGCCGTTTTAGATAATAACCATTCTCCATCGTGTAGTATTCAATATTTTTACCTCGTGGTTTATTTTTCAAAATATCATACCACTGTACAAACTCATATAAAAACATAAATTCCAATTCTTTCGGTCTCCGTGGATAATGTTCATCTATTACAGATGGACAAAATATATTTGTAGAATCTCCGTCAAGAGCTTCAATTTCCTTATAAGTTTTTACTTTTCTACGTCGTATCTGATTAACATCTAACCATTTTATAGTCGTTTTTGAATCAGTCCCCCATAAAGGAATACCACACATTCCATCACAGGCTTCAAGAGATCCACATTCCCTATTACTCGTGGCTCGCAAAGTAAAATTCCAAAGTTCTTGACGCAATGATTTCTTTGTCTTATTTTTACTATCAAGGACAGCATCAGATATTTCACATTTTCCTGGTTTATTTACGTACTTAGTAATATACCAAGTAAGCAACGCGGATGTTTCACTTACGTATTGCATATCGACATTTCCTTCTAATACCGTAAGAAGAACAGGATGATAATCATTTATATTGATCTCATCATGTTTTCGAGGAACATGATAAAGACTACTTCTATGTTTCACTCGTTTCCTACCTGCTATCGAACTTATGACATCTTTCAAAATCAACGTTTCCGTGACAGGACGAGGAAACCCGAAACGACACACACGAATCGTTTTGCGTCCTACTTTTTTAGAACGAAGACAATAATCGTTATGTTTGTGTCGTTGATGCGTATTGACTCGCCTGTATAACAATGGTGAAATATTTGGATCTGGCATTTCACAAGTTATGTGTTGCAAAATAAATTGAGAAACTTCTTCAACAGAAGATTTCCCGATAATTGGCGCACCTTCAATCCAAATTAATAAATGGAAATGTTGTATACCTCTACCTTAGTATTCTCGTCGCCAGGAATAATGCGCCACTTTTCCGATCGGATTATCTTTGGAACAAATAAAATCAAGAAACGCTTTGAATTTGTTATCAAGAAACCTTGACGTTGACACGGGATCCTTAGCAACGAGTACACTAATGAGCGTCGAATCGTCAGGTCATCCATTTACTTCACGAAGATATGCAGCTAAGTCAGGCATCAGCCATTCAGCAGGACTCCATGTTACGAACCATGTCGCAGGTCCGTATTCTTGCGTCATACATCTTAAATTACTCCTCGGTATACGCCAGTATTGTTCCGTATTTCTTATAGTGGCGAATATTGTACTCAAGTCAGATTCTAATACATCTGTCTGTAGTGCTTCTAAATATTCTGAAGCCGTATAACGCTTAGTTATACATAGTTTGCTATAAATACCACGATTTATTTGACGAAAAGTGTACAGATTATACAGAAAAAATACGAATTGTATATTTAATCTGAATTGTGGATGTTTGGACATCAAACAACATTTATCAAATTCATGGTCGTGAAGTTTAACCCGTCTAGCTTGGTGTCGTCCATCAATACCAAAAAGAAATAAATTTGGAAAACACAATAGATCTAAAGATCTCTCACGATTGTCCAAGAGCAAATCGGCTATTTTTAACATTTGA